GGGTCTGTGCCGCCGGGCCGGACACCTGAACTTTGATGTAATGTCTAGACCTGCAGATTTAATACTGTAATGCCAGCTGAGTCAATTGGTTTAACTGGTTAAAATCAGGCTGACCCAGCGGTGGCATAATCTAATAATTAACGTTTGTTAAGCTGGTGTGTGGCACCGGTACTTTGGCTTTTTTATTTTCCTTCTCTTTTTTTTTTTTTTTTTTTTTTTTTTAACAAGCCAAAACAAAACTGTGGGAGGTGTTCCTGCCCATGGCAGAGGTGGTGGAACTAGATGATCTTTAAGGTCTCTTCCAACCTAAACCATTCTGTGAAAATTTGATGCCCATAAACAACCAAGGTTATTCACTAGTAGCTTGTACAATAATTTTGGTGTAGAAAATTATAGATGTTTTCCGTGTGATACTCTTAACAGATTTCAAAAAGGTGTTTGATTTATAAACAAAATAGAAAACTACAGCCTCTCAAAAGCTGTCTTTATCCAGTGACTTTAAACTCACAGATCAGCAAGAAATATATTTTAAGTAGCAAAATTTAAAATATATAACTACTTTAAGTTGTCCTCATAGTAGTAGGTCTCCTTTAAATTTTTTTTAAAGTTGTTTGTGTTCACGTAGAAAAGACACTTTAGTGATATTAATAAATTGCAAGGAGTACTTTAGCTTATTGGTTTTATGGGTCTAAACATGCATCTCGCATTCGGTTTATTTTCTAGCAGAAAAATGGATCAAATTATTGTTTCCTATTAACTTTTTCTTAAAGTTTTCATTAATAATTTAACATAGAGTTTCAAAGCCAATTTAAACGCATCTTTTCTTGTTTTATAGATGTTTTCCCCACCTGTTAATAGTGGGAAAACCAGACCAACGACGCTAGGAAGCAGCCAGTTCAGTGGATCAGGTAGGATGCATCTGAGATACATAAAGTTCACGTAACTAGGTCTTGATGTTTTAGCTTAGTCTTCATGTGCTGGAAGTATGGTAATCTTTCATCTCTACATATTCTTTTAAAACATTCAGATTAATTAGAGATGTGCTGTTTTGATCTGACTTTATAACACAGTTTGTTACCTTTCACCACAGTTTTCTTCTATATGCCTTAGACTACGTGCCCCAGAACAGTGAAGTGTTAAGTATCTCTAGTCAGACTGATCTACAAGTTGTCTGTTTATCTGTGGTATTAAAAATGAATGGCTGCTTTGTTTTCGTTTGTTTGATAAAATCAAACCTACCTGTTAAACTAAAGTATTTCCCAGCCCCTGTATGAAAGGGGAAAACACTTAAGTAAAATGCCAGATAATGAATACTCCTGACTCAAGGGTATATTTTAAAATGCAGTTCTTAAAGAAAATGTAAAGCTAATAATTTTTTGTGGTACTGTGGAGTTCTCAAAGTCTTGATGAATAGAATTCTTTCATGTTGTACGTTTATCAGTGCATTTGGAAAACCAGTAACTATTTACATGTTGCATGTATTTCGTGGCTTCTGTGTCTTTTCATTGAGGTCCACCTAATGGCTGTTTTCAGACCCTTTTTAAGCTGAGCCTGTAATAGGAAATAAGTGCAATTTTTTAAGGTACTTTTTATCTTCTTGTAAAGGGTATATTTATTACTACTTACAAAAGAGAAACTAACTTTTTGATAACATGTTTTGTTCTTGTTTATGTATACTTATTTGCTCTGAATACAGTGAAGTGATATTTTTGTTTTTATGAATACAACAAAGTGATGCTTGTGTTTTAGTTAAGGTTAATGAAAATAAATTTTTAGAATGCCAGTAGAGGAGTGAAGTAGTTGCTTGAAGCTGTGCAGTAACATGGCCTGTTTGCCTTTAACATTGTCAGAGCTCTTACTTTGAGAGTCCAAATGACACCTTGCATTTTAGTGACACTTTAGAATTTTTCTTTTAAAAAGCATCTTAAAACTTACGAATTATATAATTTTCCAAACTCTTCCGAGATCATCTCCCACATTTAATTTAATGAAAACATGTAGCAAGTGTTGTAATTGTAACGTATTTGAAGGAGCATTTTACTTTTTCTCTCCTAAAGTATATAAGTCGTTTTGTCTTGTTCTTTAAAAGTATGTCAAGTTTAAATTATTGGCAATATTTAGACAACAAAACTGTATACAATGGATACAATGGAGTTAAAGTTGTTTTTTTTTTCTTTTAATACAATTATTCAAGGCATTTGTTCCTCAAAAGTTTGTTTTAAGAGACATTCAGGCAGCTAAAACTTGCTGTGGGGAGCACAACCTGAGCATCTTCTCTCCCTTTTCCCTTGCTTTTCCTGAATGAGTGAGGTAGTTTTCAGTTGAATAATAAAGCTTTCATTTTTAGTTTAGCTTTTAGATCAGTCTTAGGTAATGTTTTCCCTCCTTTCCTTGGATGGCTCAGAAAAAGGGAGAATGCTAGGACACTTAGCTGTTTGGGAGAAACAGTGTTACTGACTCCTTGAATTTCTTTACCAATGTGGTATATCATCACATAGATACCAATCATGAGCAATACACTGCAGCTGTCAAACAAGCTACAACCTCAACTGAATTCCCCTTGGAAAAGATAGTGATATATAGTTGTGGGTTTTAATTCAAAACATTTCTGGTTGTAGAGATTTACTGGTTAGTGGGATTATATGCCCTAATTCTCGTAATGTTATGACCTAAGGCTTGACCTAGGGGGATTACTCTGCAGGAGTGAGAGGTGACAAACTTCTGTATTAGTTGTGTTCTGAGTCAGTGTTACGTGTTGTAGAAAGACCATGTTAAGATCGTTGATGAAGTAGAGGCATTTAATTTCTAGAAACTTCACTTTCAATTTCTTGAAAACTTTTTTTTTTTTTTTACTGCTAGAGGCCACTCTTAAAAGAGAAACATGAAAGGAGGAGCTATTTATTCCTTTGAGCTGTCTAATATGGAAAAGCACAGTATCACAGATTCCTAAAAAGTACTTTTTAAATTTTTTTCTTTAAATACGGAGGATGTGACCTGTTACAGGGACTTGCTGTGATTTTGATGGCAGTTACAGAAGTGAAGATTACTTTAGTATCTTTCCCATTAACCATGGTTGTTTTATTTTTCTGATGTCTTTACAAGCACACTAAAGGAAAATGTTTTCCTTTTCTTAGTTGGAACAAGAATGTATTTATTGTTTGTTATTATAGAGACCCCTTTTTCTCATTTAAACTTAAACAGATATGAAAGTACTCTCCCCAATCAGTGATTCAAGATGCAGCCTAATGGCCCCCATTAAGTAGGTGAAAATCAATTGCTTGTCTTCGTGGCTTTTAAGACTGTACGTTTCTTGGAAGTCTGATTTAGAATGATGGAATGCTCATGATGCATTTTCCTTGCCACCCCCCCAGACCCTCAGTTTAAAAGGACAAATTAGTTGCTGTTTGAGGACGGTTATATTCTGTTTTTCGGGTGTGGCTTTGTGAAGTGTTGGAAATACTAGGGTGTATGTTATTAATTCTGATGTAACGAGCTTGAGCTGGTATAATTCTGCAATATTTCTGTTGATTATCTTGTGAAAATATATGTGTAATTGGGTTGAATAAACAAAATGGCTAATATGACTGATATCTATAGCTTGTAAGAAAATACTGTCATGGATTAACATATGAACACTATGTCTTGGTTAAAAGATAGCTAAAGTCTGGTTTGGGGCAGGCTTGCTTTCTGCAGGTCAATCAGTTATGAATGAAAGCTGGAGATGAAATAAGTAAACTAATCTGATATATCCTAGTATCTTATGACAGTAAGTCGTGTAAGCTGCTGATAAAGTCAAATAACTTGGTCAGACTACTGGTGAAAATAAGCATATTAGAAAAGTAACCTGATATGTAAGTCAGTGAGTTAAGCTGCAAAATATTCCTTGTCATACCTGTTGTAATTACCTCTTGTTTAAAACAGAACTTCACATTCTTTTCTCCTCCAAAACCGACTTGTGAAGATAAAGTCATTTCTGTCTTAGAAATCGTTGAGGGAGAAGGCAAAGGTCAGAGATATACTCTGTAGGGCTTTTTAATCAGGCTTTTTTTTCATATTTTATTTAAAATTAAATTTTTCTCTGCCACTATGGTTAATAGCAGTGTTTATGATTTACAGTGAAATTTTGCTTTGTTTTCTTTTTGTCAAAACCACAAAATATATGCCAATACAAACCCGGATGGTTACCGATTTTGCCTAATGCCCTTTATTTATCACAGTAACTCCATTAAAATCCAGTCACAATATTCAGGTGCCTGCCATAGGCAGTAATAGTGCAGTTTTCCTAGGGCTCCCAGTAGGTTTGATCTCAATTTCGGTTTTTCCTCTGATTGAAAGTTTTTTTTTCATCTCAGGTGTGGTACCCTAAAATACCCCCCCCCCCCTTTTTTTTCTTTATTTTTGCAAATAACTTCTTAGATGTTAAAGAACGTGTCTGAGATGATATTTTCCTATGTGGTTTACTATCTTCAATTTTTGTAACCTTCTTATTATACCAATAGCATTATTTTCACGCGTGGCTGTGCACGTATGTATGTGGGGTATCAGTCAGAAAGCTGAAGTAAGATAACGTGGATGTCTACCAGAAAACAAAGTGGAAAGAATTTAAAGAGGTACAGTTCAAGAGCTAAGTCATCAAAATACGATGCTTCTCTTGCCCGTAAGATTATTCTAAAGTTCATGAAAAATAAGTACACACATTTGTGTGTGGAGAGCTTTTGGCACAACTTGTGTGTGTACCCAGACATTCTTCATACTAGACCTACCTGCAGAAATACTTCTGAATGTATCTGTGTAGATATCCCTTTGTATCCGTTTGGTCCCCTTTTATGCCCTTTCCACTTCTCTCTGCTAATATACTGGGTTTGTAAGGAATGGATTGGGATAAGCCACTAATTAGTGGCTTGATGCAAAGACCATTTAAGTTGATAGCCTGCCATTAACCTGAGTGTACCTAAATTAGGGCCATGTGTCTTGAGGCTGGACACAATGGCAATTCTTTAGCAGGTCTGTTAAGTTACCAAAGAGTGTTTCCAATATCAGCAAAACCTGACTTGGATTACTGTTTGCTGCTCCCATGAACTGGTATTTTCTTTTTAGTTTTGCATCAGCAATTCCTTGTCAAACAAACAAACAAAAAACCCCGACAAAAAACCTTGTTGGAGTTACCTGGATGGGCAATGTTTTAAATGCTGTGTGTGTTAATCTACAGCAAGTGTTGAAGAGAAACTGCACTCTTAACTCTGACAGCCAAATCACAGCCTAGGAGAAACTGCAGAAAGGGGAGACTTTTTGGGAGGACTAATTTGCATACACAACCTTTGGAAATACTTTTTTTTTTTCTTCCTTCTTTTTATCAGAACTGTGATTCCTGAGAAGAATCGGTTCTCTGATACCATTCTACGTGTGTTCCTGGTGCAGTGTCCCATTGAGGTGCAGGAAATTCCTAGTGCCTGCTCCTAATCCCTGAATTAAGGAGTTGATGAGTGATCTCATGTAGTCACATAGCCTGGTCATACAATGCATTAGGTCATGACAGACTCTTTTAAATAAATAAATAAGTAAGAAAAAAGTGGAGGGCCTATATTTCAGGAATTTGATCCATATTTCTGGTTTTGTCATTCAAAATATGTAATGAACCTGTGTGTTTTTGTTTGCTGTTCAAAACAAGATAAGCTTATTGTGTGTTAAATGCCAGAAATCTAGGGTGGCCTGTTAAAATAAACATTAGGTCATGCAGCTGTGTCACTTTTTAAATTATTTTTATTTTTAATACCTAGTTTGTTCTCTAGCTCCATTAAAAGTGAACCCGCAGATCTGGTAACCTGGTATTTCATCTTGGGTCTCAGGGGTGCTAAATTCAGTCCTTTTCTGAAGCACTTGGGAAGAGTTGTAGAAGCCTCATACTTGA